AGAGAATTCACGATCCGACACTGCGAGGTCAAAGACGCACCTTGACGAGACCGTGTATTGTGAAAGTAGAAAGCTATTCGATCGAATTTAAGTTTTTTGATCTCCCTCAAGCAAAATCTTATCAGATTCTTGAAGAAAAGTGCTACGGAATAATTTAAGCAAAGAAAGAAAAAATTCTGTCGACTCCTAGAAGATAAAGTCGATTTAAAGGTATTTTGGGGCTAAAATACCCAAATCACCGGCATTATAAATCCCGTTATATTATTGAAAAGAAATTGACTCGATATAAATGCAATTGCATTAAATACGTCTTGATTTTGTTATTTTAAACGTCTTTCCATGCAAAGAAGTTCAACCATGTCGTTGCTTTATTCATTCATGAATTGAAAGTAAGCAATCTACATCCCGAAAATCTACTGATTTGCCGTAAAAAATTGCAGAAACTTGATATACCAGGTCGATGCACCCACTCGTTGAATTTACCAACCAATTTCGTGAGTGCAAATGTGTAAGAATCAATATGCTATAGTCATTTTGGGTGCATTTATTTTTCATGAAACAATAATAATTTCAATCCCGAAAAACCATCAATTTTCCGTATAAAATCGAAAAAATCAAAATATGTCGACTCCCCGACGTGAAAATTAGATTCTACGTGTGTAAATACTTATGTATCGATATGCTGAACAGAAACTATGTGTGGACACAGTCAGAAGCCCGCGGCAACATTAATTCAACAGAAAAACTGTAAAAATTAGATCGGATTTTAGCCGTTTTTCTGGCCTCTCCTCGTTACTTACAACAAACCGTTCTTATACTCATCTCAAAATTTTTCTCAGAGCTTTGGGGTATTATCAGCTTCCATTTAAACTCCGGTTTGATGGCCGAATCAGCTGCCAAAAAAGCAAGCCACTGTTGAAGGGTTCTATGAGAAATTCGTGATATTATCGGCTCTCAGGAAATCACCCCATGGCTAAAATTGGTGGTATAAATGTTTAAGTGCTTAAAATAATCGTATTCAAGAAACTAAGGAATTAAACTATGGAGTCAATTTCTTTTTAATAATATAACGGGATTTACTACCGGTGATTTAGCTATTATAGCCCCAGAATACTTTTAAAGCGCCTTTACGATCCAGAATCTCGACGGATTTTTTTTTTTTTTTTTGGCTTAAACGATTCAAGAGACATTGTAGTTAAAAATATAAAGATTTTTCGATTTGGACGTACAAAAAATGTTTAACTCGTTCAGGCACACCGTGTATTGTCTGGAGTACTGCTGTTATTCGACCGTTGTCTTCAGGTCAAAATTCTTACAAAGAAGCCCCTTACAAGAGGCGAACTTTTTGTAATTTCTCCCAGTTTTTTCAGCGTTAGGTATATAAATGATTTGCTTGTCAAATTCTGAGGTCAATTATATTTCATTGTAATTTATACATTTCTTTTTTTCCCCTTCATTTTATTTTTTGTATCGAGAAGTCGAGGTTTTGTTGATTTCTTCGGATTTCGATTACTGTAACTTCTCTTCTATTCGGCCGATTCTTATGAATGAGGTCTCTTTTTATTTGTGTTTTAACGGAGAGTAAGGAAAAAATTGCTAAATACACGCGAAATAATTTTGTTTGAAAATTGGATGAATCCTAGCGTGACGGTGAAATGGTTAATGAAGCGTGAGTAATTGGGGTACGGGTATCGGCCGCATTGGGACCCAAGGCGGCCGAAGGCCCATTGTTCTTCGTGACGCCGACGCAGTGATCAGGAGCGTGGGGAAGAGAGGGCTGAGTGGACTCCTGTATGAGCCACGCTTAGCAAATAGTCTAATGAGTCTCGAGGCTCATCACAGATTGCACATACCACTATCCTGCTGGCCGCGGCTATCAGAGCAAGGAGTACCAACTTTTGAAAAGGATAACAGTGGTGTGGAGATCTGTCAAAGCAACGTTTTGAACAAAACGGAGTGAGTGAAATTCTCATTCAAGGAGTGCCGAACTGGTCAGGCATCCTCGAATCAGTTCGCTTGCTTCCGCTTATATATGCATATTTTAAATCAGCGCGTCGTACTCTTAGGCTTTTTTTAAAAAAACCAAGTAACGTAGACTCTTGGTATTCACTGCACATAAACTAGAGAGCCCCAGAATGAGAAACAACTTTAAATCATAATTATTGACGGATAAATAAACTTTTTACACGCTTTGGAAAATCTCAGAAGTTCGCGGTAGTCACTTTTCGGTAAGGAACTAAGGGACTCGGTTATTGTATCGAGCAGGGTTCGAAACGATCGCAAAGGCGGTATACTACGTATACGCGCCAAAACTTGTGTTTTTTGGGACAATGTTTTTACAGAATTCTTTTGCAAATACTATCAAGAACTTAACTCGGAAATTTGAGGTGCACGGGTAAAACAGTTTTTATTTTATAAAGTGTTTAAGTTCCAAAAAACGAGGAAAAATCTTGATGGATTTACGGCGTTCTTGCTTGGCTCGGTAGCTGAGCCAAAGCGTCAATATTGAGGTTGCCAGATTTTTATATCGCAGAGACTGTCATGATAAACGTTTAGCGCGCGATGTGAATCACGTAGAGCATTGAGTTTTCATGAGCGGGTGGTTTGAATTCACTCATCAATAATCATTAAATATCTTCATAAGGAGTTGATTTCGGTAATTTTCGTTTGCGCATCGTGTTTTACGTGAAATTTTGGTTAGGAAGCATGTATCAGAATGCTGGAATTCATACCTTGTCTAGTGGTCCATTTTGTCTACTGGTGCGGATTTAACGACATAAATCAATCTGAGATGCTTTCTGTGCAAGCGTATGCAACATTACAAACTAGGAACGAATACCTCCTCACACATTTAGACGCACGTCACCCACCAAGATTTGAGTGATTTTATACATGCAGGACTGTCTCAATTTTGACAGCCACAAATTCAATAGGTTCGTGCGGTGAACGCTCTCCATCGTCCGAAAGTTGGAACCAAACTCTTTCTTTCCTTTATGAAACGCGGATCGATAATTTTGTTATAGTCACGTCATGTCAGTTGTTGAGATCGGAATAAAGTTATATCCTTGTGATCAATTCATGGTCAATAATCACAATTATTGAAAACTAAATACTGAGAGAGAAAAAATTCCAGACCACTTACGCACCGCGAAACTCAGCACAAGTGAGTGCTATACACAGAGAGCTGAGCGGCGTGCTACCTGGCGCGCTGGCGCCTACAAACCTAAGGGGATACTTCACGCAGTGTGCAATGTTTGAAGTATCCCCTTAGGTTTGTAGGGGTCAGTGCGTGCTGGCCGCGCCGAAGAGTGCCACGGCGCCTCAAGCAACTATTTCACAACAGAGGTGTTGCACATTATCATACGAAATCGAAGGCGATCCAACATAATAAGAATTTCAGACATTCTTTAAGAATACGGAACTTTCCTCGCAAAATAAATCACGATACTACGACACAAAAAAAGAGTGGTAGTCCAAAAACTCACTAAGTCCTATCATCCGTATTTAATAACATCTAGCATAATTTTTGAGTTTCAATAGAGAAAAATGTGACTCAATTTAGGCAGAAAAATTCTTGAGTAAAAAACTGAAAAATAAAGCTTATTATATTCTAAAAGAATTTTGTGAGGAACCTGTATAATTTCATTTTGCTTAAATTGTTGTAATTGTTGTATGAATTGTAAATTGAACTTGTGCCAGAGCTGTTTACTATACGCTGTATGCATCAATAAATGCTATCTATCTATCTAACTATAAGCAATTTGCTATAGCTGAGCCAAAGCGTCAAGATCGAGGTTGCCAGATTTTTATATTGCAGAGACTGTCATGGTAACGTTTAGCGCACAATGTGAATCGCGTAGAGCATTGAGTTTTCATGAGCGGGTGATTTGAATTCACGCATCAAGAATCATTAAGGAGTCGAAGGATTTAATCGTAAGGAGTTGATTTCGATAATTTTCGTTGTGCGCGTCGCACTCTACGTGAAATTCTGGTTAAGAATCGTGTATCAGAATGCTGAAATTCGTACCTTGTCTAGTGGTCCATTGGACGTATTTCTGTCAAACGGAACTATATGCATTATGACGTGAGGCCTGACATACATACATTCTTATGGGTCTCAGGGCTCATGTCTTAATGCACAGTGTTCCGTTTGGCAGAAACACGTCCAATTTCAGATAACCGAATTCGGCAATAGCGCTTGGCACTGTGACTCGAGGGATTCCACTGTTGGCGAGAAGAACACTGTATCCGCTTTGTTACCGGCAAGCGATCGGGAAATGAGCGCGTCCGTATCGGGCGAGAACCACGTATCGTAAGTATGGGACCCGTTGGAGTTGAGCGGTTCTCGCATAGGAGGGGAGGGCGCGGTAATTGAAAGCGAGACGCGGGTGAAATACCGCAGTGCTATCTTCCCTGCACAATCCCGAAATCTCTTTTATCCGCCAGACAAAACGCTCGCTTGCTATTCGGAAGGGATCCGGCGCCCCGACCCCCGGGTACAAATGCTCGAATCAGCAAACCCAAACTCGCCGCTCATTATTTCCCTGCATTCGCCGCGAGAGAAAAGAATCTTTGTGCGGGACATTGCGATTGGCAAATAAATTCAATTTTCGTTATGTCACGCCGGTTCTTTTTGCATTAGGTGTGAAGGTTTGTTATGTGACTTCGGAGTTTCTTATGGGACCGGATGTAGTGGCGATTCTAACGATTACGGTGGATTTTGGGATGACAGGTGAAAATGTCCAGTCTAAAATGTCCAACTATGAAAATGTCTCATATAAAATACCTACTGTCGTAATGTCATCTTTTAATTGTCCGTTGCGTAAAATGTCGACTTAACAAAAAGATCCATGTTATCTAATGTCCGTAGCGCTAAAGTGGCATGTAACTATGAAAATGCCCACAGTAAACAACTTTACCTATGTCATTGACACAATTAGGGAATTTCCTCCTCGACGGCGAATGACGAATTATTCTAAAAAAGCTTTATTTTGTTTCAGCATCAAACGCCTGTTCAGGCACCTAACCAAGATAGAAGCTCTCAGTCTGCCTCGGGGAATCAAAAATTTAGACATGGGTTGCTTCAGTTGATGATCCACACGATAGACCCTCTTCACGATGGTAAGAGTTTCTGCTTTTGACTGATTACGTATTGTGCTTTTGCATTCGGCAAATTATAAAATGGTCCTTGCACTCAAGACTAAAATACACCTATGATTCAGTCCATCTGACGTCACGCACGGCCCGAGCGTATAGGTGACACTGTAAAATACTGCGTCAGGTTGTGCATCCTGATATGATTTATTAGGAACAATAGCAATTTCTAAATTTTACCTGTGTAAGTAGAATTTAAATCGAGTTCCACCGACAAAAGATACCTCAAGTTTCATTTTTTAAAACACGGAAAAAAGTGTTGGGATTTATCCCCTAAAATTGTGGTACCACCTCAATTTGTTGGATGAAATGGAAATTTCCAATTAATTCTGGTAGTACCGCAACTCAAGTTTGCGTAGTGCAGCAACATTTGGATACGCAACCTAGTTTATTATCGTAATTAATTGGAAATGTCCACGTCGGTACTTAACCCGTACATTTTTTTCCGTAAATGAAAACAAATCGATCTTAGCGCTGAAACTTATGGGCGAATCTTTGCCATTCTAGGAGTTATTTCCCCATCGTTTAAAAATAAATTGAAATTTTATCCAACACCACACTGGATGGGTAGGGTGGGCGGTAGTTGCGGAGTAGTGCCACAGTTTTAGGGGATAACGCCTTGAATTTTTTGAAATTTACGTCGATACTTAACCTGTACCTTTTTTTTCCGTGAATAAAAACAAATCGACCTTAGCGCTGAAACTTTTCGACGAATTTGTGTCATTCTATGAGTTATTTCCCCGTTTTAAAAATAAATTGAGATTTAATCCAACACCACACTAGGTGGGTAGTAGGGCGAGGGATAGTTGTGGGGTAGCACCACAGTTTTCGAAGATAACCCCTTAAATTTTTTACCGTGTCCAAGAAATAGTTCCAAAACAGTTTAAAAATATTTTGTAAGGGAGCGCGGATAAAACGGAAGCCCCGCCCACGGGCCCCGTCCATTAGCAAACCTTCATGAGAATCTTTTCTCGGGTGATCAAACGGCGAGCCACCCGATGGACCCGCTCTTTAGCCCCCGATCAATCAAGCGAGTAATGAATAGGTCTCGGCGAAGTGATCGATCAACCGGTCCCCGAGTTTACCGACTGGCTCTTGAGTCAATTTGCGCCCGGAAACGCGCCGCTTCCGCCGCTCACGAAAAAGAAACCCCGTTTTTCCGCCGTGCAGTCTCGCCGACATCCGCGCTGGAATGAGTGAGGAGCAGTGGCGGGGCGTGAATGATCGATTATCGATATATCGCCATTTGAAGCTATGGTAAAGAATCGATTACTAAGGTGTTCGCTGCGAACACCCTGTTTATCGATCCTTTTCCATAGGTTTAAATGGGAGAACAATCGATATATCGCAATTCACGCCACGCCACTGGAGTGAGGAGATAATGGTGCTATGCCCCCGTTGACGAATCACTGGAGACCCGGCCGGGATTATCACTGAATCGGGCGGATTTCCACGCGGAGTGGCAAGGGTGAGCGCTGGTTGCCATGGGAACGACCGCAACCGATACTCAGTTGCCGGGATCCAGGGAAGAGCACCTGAGAAAAAGGTGGAATAGGTAGGGTAGGAATCTTGGAGCATGTGCTGCTCTTCCGCGCTGAGGAAGAACGCCGTATGAGCAATCAAATGCTGCCGAATTTCCCCCGATAAAATATTTGTTTTGGAGAAAAATTCAGCATATTTTCCCTAGAGCCCCTTTATACTGAGAGTCAAGACACACCCCCTTCATGGAGTCACGAACGGGAATAAAGATTACAGAAATTGAAAGTTGTTTTGTAACCTCTGATCGGCCCATTCTCAAATTTCTTCATCCGTTCTTTCTCTCATTCCGTTAGTTCCTTGCCGAACCTGTAATTCCTTGGTCCATTCCAGATTATAATCTTTGCAATCGGTGAAAATGTAATCTTTATTATCGTTAGTGACACTGTGAGGGCCTAAAATACGGGAACCAATCAGAAATGAATTCACATTGTCTTGACTCTTAGTATAAAGGGACTCTAATTTTCCCTGGAAATCTTCAGATATTTTAGATTAAATTGTCAACAAAACTGTCTGCAAAATTTGAAGAAAAACGTCCAGAATTTTCCCGGTAAATTAGTTTTTGATTGGAGGAAATATGGCAACATCTGAAGGCTCATACGGCATTTTTCCTTGGTACGGCTGTATGCTCTTCTCTAGGAGCACTGGAAATTTTGCTGATTGAAAATGTGTGTTCTTGTGTTCCAACCCAAACTTAGTGTTGATTTTGGTACTATTTGCGGTGAATTTAGCGCAGAAAACAATGCAGAGACTGAGAAATCCCAGCATTTGAGGCAGCTAAACATGTTCACGAGGCACATAGAACAGGTACGCCATCACTTCTCGTTGCTAACGATATTGGAATTCTGTTTACTGGTGACTGGCAACGATGCACTGAAGTATCTCTTCATGAGGTTAATCCTCGCTGAGGATGAAAGAAAGAGCGCAAGAACCTTTCTTCTCCCCTCTTGGAAGTATTAAATTATCAAGAGTTTGAAAAAATGGAAATATCAAAGTTTGATCTAAGTCGAGAAGTAACATCGAATCTCATCGAGATTAAGGAAGGCTTTTTACCTTGACGATTTCCCGAAGATGAAAATCACTTCCCGAGGCATCGCACAAGGCAAAGACCGAACCCCAGAAAGGAGGTTGTTCATGAGAGAAAGAACGGGGAAAAAATTCACGATTCTAAAATATTCCTACTAATTCGCACGATTATGAACTTCTTTTTGCGTGGAGAAACACCGAATAAGGGGATGCAATGTTTTCTAAATTGAAAAAAGATTAAAGCTTTTAGTGTAACCTGACTATCCAAGAAAAGAAACTCGGGAACGTTGATGTACTCAACTTTGCATTACACCGAAAAAAAGTGTTTTAGTAACACCACAAATGCGGGGAAAATGTGCGACAACTCTTGGATGTTGTCATTAACACTCAAGTGTTAAAGTAATGGACGTGTTACTTTTACATTTCAGAATGTTACTTCAACACCAGAGTGTTAATGACAACATCCATTTTTATCATCCTATCTTTGCATGGAGAGTTTGTCTTGATGTAGAGGTGGACTCTCAGGATAGCGTGGGATATCCCCTCCATTTTGGCCTCAACTTGAGAGATTTTTTTGAGCTTCAGAGTTAATTTTAGAGAAAACCGGTGGCACTATCGCATTTCTCGCGATTTTGTACATAAGAATCAACAGTCAAATCGCAAATTCCTCACACATGCAACATCTCCATTATCGATAAGCGTTGCGGGCAGCCGGCCAGCGCCTACAAACCTAAGTGGATACTTCAAGCATTGCACAATGCGTGAAGTATCCCCTTAGGTTAAGAATCACCAGTCAAATCGCAAATTCCTTACACATGCAACATCTCCATTATCGATAAGCGTTGCGGACAACCGGCCAGCGCCTACAAACCTAAATGGATACTTCAAGTATTGCGCAATGCGTGAAGTATCCCCTTAGGTTAAGAATCAACAGTCAAATCGCAAATTCCTCACACACGCAACATCTCCATTGTCTTGAATTCAGTGTTATCATTTCACTAAAATCCTCGGTTACGGTTCCTTTGCCAGCATTTGATTCAATTTCCCTCGAGGGCACCCGGCACCCGCTGACACCCCCGTAAAAAAGGCCCACACGCAAAGGACCGAATTAAACTTTCCCCGCACCTTCCTCGAACGACTCCATCAACGAGGTTAAAGTTAAAACAAAAGTTTCCGGATCCGCCCCATGCAGAGAATCAAAACTTTTGATGCACTCAAACGAATATCGCAGGCCCGCTTCCCGCTGCTCCCTCACCCGAACAAACCCTATTACTGGATTATTCATGACGACTTCTGTTTTGATGCGATTTTAAAGACCGGCCTTCTCAGCTTTGCGCCACGACGCGGCAAAGTTGCCAGATTTTTTAAAATGAATTTGGATATTTTACACGCGGGTTTAAATGGACCGCGTTTAACAGAAAGGAACCAAGCCACATCGGCTGTTGCCACATTTAACTGAGGTATTTAATTTTCTACAAGAGAACGTTTGTGCGAATTTTGTTGAAAATTTTAGGGGATCTGCCTTATAACATGCAGAAAATTCACTGAAATTTTCAAACAAACCCGCTTTACCGTTTTTATGTAATAAATTAAATTGCCCAATTAAATTTGGAAATAGCTGATGTGGCTCGGTTTCTATCTGCTTAACGCGGTCCAAAAAGGAGGTGCTGTTTTTTAGCACTACCCGGCAACAATGACGAGGGCCGAAGACGCGAGATCGCGGATCCCTGTGTGGTGCGGGGGAGGAGGCGCGGGCAAAGGGGCTAGTCTCTTGCGGGGACGAGTTTTCCGGTTGCCAAATTTATAACACATCCGCACTAAGGAGATACGCCGTATGGGTAATTGAACGGTGTCAAATATTCCAGAGTAAAATATAAAGTCCGGAGACAAGCCGTGCAAATTTCCCGTTAAAATTCCCCGATACAAAATATTAAATTGCCATCAATATTCTGTAAAAAAGTAAGAAGGAGTAGATCACTGCGTATTCAAATAATTAGTAATTTACCGAGGGAAATTTGGCAACATCGGGATTTTCATACGGCATTTTTCTCCGGCGCGACTGAGTATATCTTGTAATTCCGTCAAATTTCAAAAGCCTCGGTGCATGCAGTCTGATGGTTGTTGACCCAGTTGTAAGGCACACGTACATATTCATAGGCCATGCTCCGTATTCTTTCGAGTTAAACTTGCGCTCTCGCTTCAACCCCCCTCCCCCACTCTCCTGGTTGGGGTGCATGCGCGCGAGGGGGAGGGGGAGGGGGGAGGGTATAGCCCTTTCATTCTTTCGATTTCGTGCTTTCCCTTGAATCTCTGCCGGAGTTTATTTCTCGTTTCCCTCCAAAGCCTCCTATATTTATTCTCTCCATGCCAGCGTTCGTAAAGCGAGAACCTCTTCCCTCTTCGTC